ATTAGTAAATATAAAATAGGGATCTATTGTGTATGATAAAAGCACCCATTCAAGTTAAATTAATTTTTTATCCAATGTTAATAATATTATTATTGTTTTAAATAATAATGCTCTTGGGAAAAAGATAGAGATTTTTTTTCAAAAATTTACCCATTATTATTTAGTCCCTAAATAACTTAGTATTTAGTATTAATTATTTCTATGCTTTTTTTTGCAGATGCAATGATGCATGATGGGATTAAGGATGACATATAGGTAATTTGATTTAAATTTAATTTTCTACATGGACATAAGTAAAAAAAAATCAAATTAAGTAAATCTTATATTGTTTTGTTTTATATTTTATGAATTTCTCATATCTTTTCCTTTATAAAAAATAATATTAACTGCGAATGATCCAACGAGAAGATACTCTAAATGCTATTAGGTTTCTTTATAATAGATTTAGAAAAGGATAAGAGAAAGAAAAAGAAAAATGAGAGGATGTGCATAGTTTTCTAATTTTTTTTTTAATCTGTGAATTGCTTTTTGACCACTAAAAGAGTATTTATGTGAGAGGATGTGCATAGTTTAAAATTAAAGAGTATATTTAGAAAGAGAAAAAGGGATCATAATGTTTTCTTAATGACCACAGTAGCAAGATTTATGTTTTTCTTTTAATAATAATAAAATAATAAATATGAAAAAAAAAGAGAAAATGATTGTAAAGTAAAAAAATTGAAAAAAAGTTATTACAGATATTTGATGGAATGAATGCATTAAAGCCCCTCTCTACTACCTCAGACATTGTCTCTCACACTCTTTCTTCCCATGTTCTAAGTATCTCCTACTTGCTGAGCTTTCTGATAGCTCTATGAAGTATATGTAGGAAGATTTCATATGAGAATAAGCTTGGTAGTTGAATACCTTAGCACATTGGATCAGCATAACGACCATCATTCATAGTTCAAGAAGAAAGTAAGCTCTACTAAGTACGCAGGATCATAAGAAAAAAAAATATAGAGGCGGCAATCGCCTTTGGACAACAAAACTCCACCTTGTAGATCCGCAGGGAAGAATACTGCCTTTTGTTTTCTTGGTCGATTCATTTCTGCTTTCTTTATGACATCAATACAACTTACGATCATCAAGTTTGCTGGTAAACATATACTTCGTGCAGAAATCTTGACACCAATTTCTGGATCTGTATATTTGATGCCAGAAACTTGCGATTCTGAGCGTGTCAGCTGCAAGAGAAAAAGATGATGGTGGATATATTATTATATTACGAAACATAAAGGCAAAAAAGACTTGATGTACCATTCTACCGTTCTAACCTCTAAAACTATTCTTTTTTCTTTAACAAAATATTATGGTTTAAAGTTAAGATAATACAAGCCAATACCTAAAAAAAGTGATCTTTTTTGACTGATTATCACGGACTTAGTTGGTTTTGCCTAAGTCGTACGGTACCCTTGCGTGTCCGTCCGTAAATGTTAGTCTTTTCGAAGCCTCCCATGGTCCCTTAGGACCTATAAAAGAGAAAACGGGTTAGAGAAACAATGTAAATTACAAACAAACTTTACAAGCTCTGAACGATTGCACAACAAAGGTTCAAAATGATCCACTACAAATCGAATATCTCTCATAAGTGTATACATGACACAACATTTATTTACAAGCCTAAAAAGACCATCAAACATAACTAAAATGAGGTTTTTAAGTCTTGGACCATCCCTTTATGCAAAGTATGAACAAATCAAAATACACGAAAATATATAAGTATTACATCAAACATTAACTTTGTCCGTGACATGATGTCCCTTTTTATTTTATTTTATTGATTAATGTTAATATTTTCTTGCATCCCAAAAATATCGTTGATAGATTTTTTTTAATCTTTTCATTGGATAATTAATCTATATATACCAATTACAGTATTTTTGAATAGGATTATGGTATCCTTGGTACATTAACAAAAATACCATAACTCTATTAAAAATATCATAATTGACATAGAAGTCACTTTCTTTTGTATGTTCTCCTTACTTGATACAAATATTTTATTTGAAACTCAATCAAGGTTGGTAAATTAAGTATTTTTATGAAGATGTCGAAAACAATAGGGCATCTATTAAAAAACACTATAGCTGATATTACAGCAAACGAACCGATATAGTGCAAAGGATGGAAGTGTTTTTTGGTATATGAAAGTAGACAAACTGATCTAATGCAAAGGACGAGAGTCGTTTTGACATATCAAAGTTAAGACACCAATCGAAAAAACACTTTTTCAAGAAATTTGCTAATAAGAATTCAAATTTATATGCTACTTTTTCTATTTTGACAAACTAAGAGGAAGATGAAGAGAGAGTTCAAATAAAACGCTGCAGCAACAGGACAAACGAGCTTCTCTCCGTGAGATTCAAAACACTAGGGCTAATTAGCATCTAGAACGATTCGAAGTCCGCGAAATCGAGTAGACCAGCTTCAACTGCAACTTGATACATTTGATAGGAATACTACGACATCAACTGTAGAACTACAATAAGGTGTAGATTTTTTCTGTTGTTAAGGAAATATATTGTTGATGTTTTGGTTAGTCCGATATTGTCCAAACCCGTATATGTAGGATTATCTGAAATAGATTCGATATGACTTTGAGATAGCTCCGAGGTGGATCTTAGATGACTCCGAGGTAGTTTCGAGATGGAGGTATCAAGCTCCTAAGGTGGCACCTGCATGAAGACCAAAGTTCGAAGAGGTTTCCCGACTCGATCCTAACAATACTCAAGTTAGTAATCCGAGGTCCCTAAATATGGGTTTGAATAGTTCAAGAGAGGAGAGAGTTTTTTTATTTTCACTGTTTTCATACCCAATGAGGAAATTTTTTTTATGATATTCTTTATTATCATAAAAAAAGAGAAAAAAAGTTTAGGATTGTCTTCCTTTTTTATCTTCTTTTCCATAATGAATGAGAAGAAATATTATATTTCTCTATTTTAAATGTTTATACAGATGAATGGAGAATGACTTGGATGACACATAATGATTGTTTGTCAATTATTAGTAAATTCCTTATCACCTGATATGAATTAGTAGATTTATCTCGGAGTGGGTTAAGTTTTCCTACCAACTTCAAATCTTCTTTTCATCATAGTGGATTTCATGTCCCTTCTCTACCATAGCATATATCAGATATCAGATCTTTCCATTATGCTGGATTTTAAATCTTCTTTTCATCATGACATATTTTATATCTCTTCTTCATCAGAATGAATCTCGGGTCTTTTTGCTGTGATAGACTTATCCACATGTGGGAAGGATGGAAGTTACCTCATGAGTAAAAGTGCTGCGGGTTGGAGGTAAAGCATTTTCGTTAGAACATTCGTTGAGAGGGTTAGTAGGCGAACGTTCCTGGGATAGTGGGCCCTCCTTTTAGCGATAAATTGTTAGGAAAAATTTTCATTGACATATTAGCCAACACGATATGGTTTGGACTCGTATATACATGATTATCTAAAGTGTCTTCGAGGTGACTCTGAATTGGCTTCTAGATGGCTTTGAGATGACTCTGGGGTGGATCCAAGATGACTCCGAGATAGCTCCAAGATAGTTCCGAGATGAAGGTGTCAAGCTCTTGAGGTAGAAGTATTGTGCTCCCGATATGACACTTGCATGAAAATTCGGATTGGGGGAGATTTCCTAACCTGATCCATTTGATACGCAAGTTAGTAATCTGAGGTCCCCAAATATGAGCTCGAATAGTTTAAGAAAGAAAAAGGTTTTTCCTGTTTTTATGCCGAGGAGAAGGAAGTTTGTGATGTTTTTTGTTGTCATAAAAGAAGAGAAAAAAGTTTAGAATTGTCTTTCTTACGGAAGAGAAAGTTTATGATTGTCTTTCTTACCATAATGAATGAGAAGGAATATAGTATTTCTCTACTTTGAATCTTTATATATGGATAAAGGATAATTAGGATGACACATACCGAGTCAACTAATGATAAAATTTCATATTAATTATTTGATCTTACGAAAGCAACCTCTTGCACGATCCGATTCAATGACCTCAGCCTGATCCAGCTGTGAGACTATGTAATTGAAAAACCTCCTATTAACAAAGTTTACGTTAACAATTCTAAGTTGGATGTACATTGATCCGTAAAAGGTGTTGGTGTCAGGTCAAATTCTTGTCAATCTCAATCTCATTACTTAGTTGAAGTGCAATACTGGTGCAGACTTGAAAACGATCTTAAAAATGTATAACAAAGACAAAAAAAAAAAAAAACCAAATGATTTTCTCACCAATTCTACCAAAACTAAAAAGAACTCACTTCACATTAAAAAAAAATGAAGTAAATAATTATCATATTCATGGTCCCATATCAAAATATATGATCCAAAATAATTTTGTTCATCTTCTTACCTATTAGTTACCCGCGGCGCTACCAGGGCCTTGATCGAAGACATCACTGGGACCCATGTTTCAGAAGAGGCACCGGGACCCACGCGTTCATTATCCAAGTCACGTAATTACCTCGTCGGTCACTTGAGACTTCCGGACTCTGTCGAAGACCTGGTCTATGATTGGAGGAACCGGTGGTTCCAGAGTTGGGTCCCACCGATCCAGGTACGTTTTGAATCCAATGCGTCGGTACCAGCCTGTTTTTGCCACTACAGCCGTCACCGTCACCGTATCAAACTTAGAGCCCCTTCATCTGTCCCTTATATATGTATATATATATATATACACACACACACACTTCTCCAAGGTCCAAAACCCCTCATCCTGCGAAAGAGAGAACCTTTCTCTTTCGTGTTGGCTTTCTGTTGCCTGTTTGATAAAGATTGGCAAAGGAGAGAAGAGATCGATCATTATGTGGTGCCCGAGCCGGTGCTGCTGCCTGTGCTTCATGCTGCTGGTGGTGATCCTCCTCGTCGGGCTCGTCTTCGGCTTCGACGTCTTCTTCCACGGTTTCCACAAGATCAGCAACGCCTTGCACGACGACACGCCACGGGGAGGCGGCTTCCCCGGTGGGCGGCTCTTCTTCCCCGGCGGCGCCCCTCCTGCTTTCTGAAGAACGGATTCTTCTTATTTCTTAGATCTCTGCGTGTTTTAATTTTTTTATTTGGATCTGTGATATCTAGCTTTGATAATTTGGTTCTTTAATCGTATAAAAAAGATAGATTCATAAAGATAGCCGTTACCTGATGGATGATAGCTTGTGTATAATAATAATGATATTTCACAAAGGTAGGCTCTTCCACATCCTTTTCTTTATTCAGCAGCGTCCATCGAACAACTCAACTCGAGTACAGCCACCCAATCCACACTGTTGTCAGGAAGTATGTGGTTGATGATTGATCAAACCATTGGTTATGCAGTTATGCAGGAATCTTAGCCCACGCTAATAGAGAAGAGAAGGTGGAGAGGATGAGCCAAACAAGTGAAGTCAATGGTTCCAGTGCCGGTCAACAACTGTCAGATACCTGCCAATTTCCAAAGTGTCATCAATCAAATCATGTAATTGTTTCAGGCAAAGAATTTTAACTGGTGCACCGTATATAGGTGATGTAAGAAACAATTGCTGACACAGAATATTGATGACGAGGAAACTAATAACAAATGAGGAATATTGCCAGCAGTAGGACATCTTTTACTTTATGTATTGGGAGCTTTACAATGAGCACAGAACAACCAGACAAGCTCACCTCCTCTACATCGGGTGCAATTCCTACCGAGGCTTCCATAAAGATCAAGCCAGGCTCTTTGGCAAATTGTTATCCCTCCTCAGTGCTGCAGCTTCTGTGAACATGATTGAGCATCTTCCAGCCGGCTTTCGAGATGATTGAATGTCTCCCTCCTGATAATGAACTCATGAACGAACAGTCCTAGAATCTTGAATTCATTGTATCTAATATGTAATGACTACCTAGTGATGTCATGGACAAGCAATGCACCAGAATCACCTTATATAAGATATGGTGATTGATGTGAAAGATCCTTGTCCAGTCTATAAAGCTTTGCGTCAAATGCTTGTCATTCTGGTTGAAGGGGCATATCATCAATTCACATATAGCAAGCAAAAGAACAATCGAATTTACACAGTGCTTTATTGGTAAAAGCAATGATCATAATTAGAGTCCATACCATTTTGCTGGCTGGTTCATCCAATGAAATAGTATCTTCGCGTCAAGCAACTAAATTTTCTGCAAATTTGTTAGGTCACATCAAAGAAACCCACATAATTAATTTACAGAATGATATCATTAACTGAATAATCAAAGAGGAATGCAGCAAAAAGGAGTGCATCATCGTCGAACAATACTACAAACGAATATTGAAATCCGAAAATCCCAAAAGAACTAACTTACAGCAGTAGGCATTGAAGCAGGAAATGCGCATCACAGATTGATGCACAAATTCTAAGACCATGATCCCAGATCAAATTGATTAATCTTGTCCTACGTATCCTACCAACAAGACACTAGCAGAGATGTATCCTTGAAGAAATCCAGAATCAAGAAAGAGGGAATCATTGTTTCCGGTAGTACAACTCACCGAAAGAACTGACTCAGGAGACGACTCTCGCGTACCGAGCAGAAAACGACCTATATCGCCGATGATGATGTACTTGAAAAGGCAATCGTATCTCCGCCATCTTTCCACGCAACGAAGCCCAGATCCGAAAACCCTGATCGACCGAGGCAATGAAACAAGAGATCAATGCGATCGAAGATAGATCGAGAGGAAGAAATATCGATCGCTTGAGGGTGATTCGGTTTCAGGATTGCTTCGAGACGGAATGAGATGAAAAAATTACGAGGTTTATCCGCAGTTTCCAACAAGGGCGGGCTGCGATCCTCTCCAAACCACACAGGCCGAGTTCTCTCTCCAAGTCTCTCATCCTCGCACCTTCCATCTCTCCTACCCTCACATCTCAGCCATCCACTAGTGCAAGCCCCGTCGATGGCCTACCTATAGTTGTTCAATCACAAGTCATTTGACACATGGATGGTTGAGATATGGAAAGGGAGAAATGGAAGGCTGAGATTAGATTAGAGGAGCTTTAAATATGAGCATCATGGAGAGGATCCTTACTACACAAGATAAAGAGAAGGCGGCCCTCCTAAGGGTACCAATGAACCGCTCCCAATATCTTTCTCATCCGACGTGGTTCTCTATACGCGAGAGATCATCTCACCGTGGACCCCGCAGATAAGGCAGGGAGAGGGCGTACCTGATTACTTCCTTAGTGCGAGTCCGAATCGGAATCGTTGGTTTGGGCTCAGTACCGGTGCGTTGCTCATCCCTCAGGGTTTTAATGAGGATTTCGCAAACCCCACATGGTTAAGGCGGCGGAGAGATGCGGCGATCTGTGGCTCCGCTCCTCCTCCGATCCCGGCGGTTCGCCTCATCGACTGCCGTCAGTGGCATCAGTAGCAGCAGCTCGGACAAGATTGTCGCCGCCGTGCTCTTCGAGCGGCTCCCAGTTGTGATCCCCAAGATCGAGCCCATCGTCTACGCCTTCCGAGAATTCTCGTAAGCTCTAATCCTCCATCGCCCTCGTCAGGTCCGATTCGTTCCGTTTCTGTTCGAAAGATTTTATTTTTAACGAGAATGAGATTGGGGCTACTGTTTTAGCTGCTCATGTATTCTTGTACTTGTCTTTTCTCCCTCTTTAGCCTATTGTGAATGGGAATAGACGGAGTTTATTAGATGATTGTGGAACATATTTTGCAGGTTTCGATGGAGACAGCAGTATCGTCGGAAGTACCCTGATGAGGTCTTGGGAAAGGCGGATGCAAGGTAAGGTTCATTTCTTTTTTTGTTTGTCTGTCGTCTGTACTTTGTGGATCTGATTTTATGATTAAGAAGTTATAATGATTTGGTTTTTCTCAAAGTGGCTTTCTAAATTAAAATTTATGAAATGTTTATGGGTGAACAAACAAGCTGATTGTTATGTTTTTCACCTTAGCTTATGAAACGATTATGTGACATGTTAATTATCTAAATTGTACAATGAAGCCTCAGAAGACAAATGGATACATATCAATGCTTTACAAACTCTAGCATTAGGTCCAGGTGGATAATTACAGAAAGAACTGTTTATTATACTCTGCAAAGGAAAGTTGAATGTGATTAGCACAGGTAAATATTAGTAACTAGATGTTCCTCATGGTGTTACTTTGATAGGAGGCAATGTTAGTTTATATTTATGTTTTTGTGATGAATACTGGATTTTATTTTCAATTGATTGTTAAGAAACACAGTTCTATGTTCTTTTTGAATATTTGGTATAATGCTAAGACCTGTAAACTCACTGGCACTGTAAAACATTATGTTTGCTAGTGTAATTTTCCTATTTAATTTAAAACATATACTTTGAAATCTGTCCACATTGATGCTTATTGTTTTAATAGGGGGAAAGGTGACTATCAAACTGATTATGTACCTGCTCCAAGGATCACAGAAGCTGACAAGACTAATGATAAAAGGTAAATCTGGGTTTGATTTTCAGGCTGCATTTGCTTGACGTTATATTTTTATTCAAAAAAATTCCAGTTTTTGTTGGCTTCTTATGATCAAAATATATGGAAGTACTACTGCATGAGAACTGCAAAACTGCCTGACGTTCTTGTTAATGATGGTGAATGTGAAGCAATGACGTCAAACATCTAGCCCCATATAGCTGGATCTTATTTACGTTGCGTTTGCTTTTGCATACTTTGTTTCTACCTCTGTGGCCTATGACCAGTCTAATATACAAATGGAACCAACATGAGTTGCACTCAACTATGTTGATAAACCATGAGAGACTGCAATATATATTTTTTGAAGATCATAGTGGTACTCTTTGTGGGTGGAGCTTAGTAAAATGGTAAGGTTGTTCCCTTGCAACCTGAGAGACTAGGTTCAAATTGCAAAAACAACCTCTCTTTATATTTAGAGGTAAAATTGTGGACATTGGCCCTTCCCGGACCCTGCATTGGCTGAAACCTTGTGCATTGGTACACCCCTTTATCGTATTGGAACTCTTTGCGATACATCAAGAGCTTAATAGTCTTGTTGATTTGATTCTTATTAAGTGATCATAGATTTCTCTGTCATGACCAGTCATGTAGACTGAATATACTATCTCAGTTCTTATTCAAGCTTAATACACTTGATTGCCCCATTTCAACATTTTCTTATTCTCTGATATCTTTTTGGGATATTCCATTGCAAATTCATGTTAGAAGACTGTCAAACAAAATTTCACATTGTTCAGTGTCATAGAAGTTATGCTAATAGTCTCCTTCCATTTCAACATTTTCTATTTTTGATATCTTTTTGGGATATTCCATTGCAAATCCATGTTAAAAGACTGTCAGACAAAATTTGACATTGTTCAATGTCAAAAAAGTTGTGCTAATAGTCTCCTTCCCTTTTATATATACCATGATACATTATCCTCTAATATTACTTGCTTTCTCTTTGACTGTCAAAATTTTTTTTGTGTCCTTAAATGGAAGGTAGCATAAACTGGAACACAACAACAAAGCATCAAGTTCCAAAAAAATTTCTGTCAACTACATTCACCTTTTGATGAAGACATTATTTTTTGATTTATCTCAAAAACTCCGGAACTCGCCAACTTCACTTTAATCATTCCGATTTTCAGGATACTTTGTTGTTAACTCCTCAACTTTTTGTAAGAATACTGACCATTACTCAAGCTGTGTTACAGAAATTACCTTTCAATTGAAAAGGCATCCGGAGAGATACTCTAAAGGCACCTACTTAAATTAACTGTGCTCCTGTTTTACAATTAACATTCTGTTAAAAGTTATAAGAAGATATCTGCCTTATGAGATATGCTTATGAAATGATAAGGAACCATTCTGATGAGTATTGTATCTTTGATAAGTTGCTACCTTTGAACCCAATACTTTTGTCGTTGCAAATCTAGCACTGGAAAAGAAAATAGCTGAGTAAGTTCCTCTCTTTGACATGTACTACAATTTGTCACTTAAAATTATGGCCTGGATGCTGGTTCTTGGAACTGCAAGGTTTGGTGCCAAATTGACCATGCTAACTTTTTTTCTAATATTTTCTTTTATTATCTAATCTTATAAAGTTAGTTCTATAGTTAAAGTTCACTTTCTCGAAAATGCATGGTTTTTCAATTTTAACATAGTTTTTCCTGGCAGGTGTTCATGCTGTTAGTTTTTCCTAGCAGGTGTTCATGCTGTGCTATATTTAACATAAGTTTTTGTGTCTTTTGTGTGAAGATTTTGCTGGCATGCTGTTTTCTTCTGCAGTTAGTATTGTGGTAATAAAAGTTCCCAAACTAATTCCACCCGTTTTGTTTGTGCAAAATTGCACTCTGATGCTAATGTTCGGTCATACCTTTAACAGCTTTCTCAATGAACTCTCATTTTAAGGTCTGTTCTGTAGTTATTATTCATTATATTGAACATGCCTAGCTTGGCAATTTTAACATAATATTCACTGGGTAATTTTGTGCCATTCCATATTTCACACAAACATTTTCATCTGTTCCTTGCTGGATTTTGCTAGCACGTCAGTTTCTGATGCAGATTTTACCATGATAGCTGATGTATCTCAAGCTGGTTTTGCTTTGTGTGCATTAACTGCATATTGTTGCCATGATAGCAAGGATTTCGTTTTCCGTGATTAACAAGTCAGGATGGTAGGGCTCCATGCCAGTCAGCACAAGCCGAAAATTATGAAGTGGGTGTCCTGTTACACATTTGGCATGGCATAGGCTTCCATGCTGGTAGAATTTGTAACAGTCACTGTGCTTCGTGATGGCTGGTGCAAGCCACACTTTGTTGTTGCAAGTAAATATGAAGACACACAAATATTTTCTTATATAGATGTTCTGCTTGAATTCATGGTTGAAACACAACTTGTGAGTTCTTTACAGCATTCTGTTTTGATATTTGAGAGGTTTTTTCTACTTGACAAACCCAACTTTATTACAGCTCATTAATACATTTTTCACTTTGCCATCACAAACTAAATAACATAGTGGGTTTCTGTTTGATTCTTTTAGGTCACTGCAAAGGGCACTTGATAGAAGACTTTATCTTCTCCTGTATGGCAGCACTTATGGAACTCCTGATAAGGAACCTGTTTGGCATTTTCCAGAAAAGGTTTATGAAAATGAAGAAACTTTGCGTCTGGTACTACCTTTTCTCACTTAAATCGATACAAAATGTGACTTTTTATTTGTGTTTTCTTTTAGAACTGTGTTATTCTCAGAGTTCTATTTCATGATAGCTTATTGAAATTGTTAATCTGCAGTGTGCAGAATCAGCACTGAAATCTGTAATTGGAGGGCTCAATAATACATATTTTGTGGGCAACGCTCCAATGGCACAAATGGTTGTGGAACCAAAAGAAGACTTGCCACTTTTTAAGGTGGGTGTTTATATTTGCAGCTTTTTTTTCATGTGTTGACTATCATGAAGATGTTTTTCTTATCCTTGTTTAAGGTTAATAGCATAGCTTCCCTTTAATTATTCTTTCTCAAAATGAAGATTTGCTTATTTTGATTTCTTATACTTGTAGCCTTACTTTATTAATTCTTACGATTGATAATTTTTTTCATCAATCTTGTCTATAATTGACTTAGAAATTTATGTTTCCCTGTACATCTCAATCCAGTTCACAAGACATTTCAGAACTGTTTTCTCTTTTCTGCTTTTCTGACAAATGTCTTTTTTCAGCGGTTCTTTTTCAAATCGCAAGTAATTGGTGCTAGCAAACTTCAGATTGGAGAGTGCAAAGATTTTGTCTGGGTGACCAAGGATGAGTTGATGGAGTACTTTCCAGAGCAAGCTTCCTTTTTTAACAAGATGATTATCAGCTAAGATTGCCTTGGATACGACATTAGATAAGCATGTTTTTG